GAACCCGCCACCTTAGGTGTATGTGGCTGGCGCCTTAGCCGGTTGAGCTATAGGCGCCGAGCCGGATTTATTTATTCAGGATAATTCTAGTTGTTTTATGATACTTTGCTGTCATTGTATGTATTCTATTTAGAAGAGGAAGCTAGAGTTCTGTGGCAGGTGAGTGGCATAAGGTCTCTGAAGTAGGGGCAGTGTGAAGGAAGACCTATATTCTCACATTTGGACCTTCTCAGAACCATGGCCCAGCTAACATACATCTTGTTTTCTCAAGCTTTTGTTTCACTGTTGTGCTTTCAGGAAAATGGGAGTGTCCTTGGCATCAGTGTGACATCTGTGGGAAGGAAGCAGCCTCCTTCTGTGAGATGTGCCCCAGCTCCTTTTGCAAACAACATCGAGAAGGCATGCTTTTCATTTCCAAACTGGATGGGCGTCTGTCTTGTACTGAGCATGATCCTTGTGGGCCCAACCCTCTGGAACCAGGGGAGATCCGTGAGTATGTGCCTCCTGTACAGCTGCCTACAGGCCCAAGCACTCACCCAGCAGAGCAGTCATCAGGAGCGACTGCTCAGGAGCCCAAGATGTCAGATAAACCACCTGCTGACACTAACCAGATGTTGTCACTCTCCAAAAAAGCTCTGACAGGAACTTGTCAGAGGCCACTGCTACCTGAAAGACTTCTTGAGAGACCTGATTCTAGGACCCAGCCTTTAGATAGGGTCAGAGACCTTGCTGGGTCAGGGACCAAACCCCAATCCTTGATACCCAGCCAGAGGTCACTGGACAGGCCGCCTGCAGGACCAAGACCGCAGCTATCTGACAAGCCCTCTCCAGTGACTGGCCCAAGCTCCTCACCCTCAGTCAGGTCCCAACCACTGGAAAGACCTCTGGGGATGGCTGACCCAAGGCTGGATAAATCCATAGGTGCTGCCAGCCCTAGGCCCCAGGCACTGGAGAAAACCCCAGTCCCCACTGGCCTCAGACTTGCGCCGCCAGACAGATTGCTAATTAGCAGCAGTCCCAAACCCCAGACTTCAGACAGGCCCTCTGACAAATCCCATGCCTCTTTGTCCCAGAGACTCCCACCTCCTGAGAAAGTACTATCAGCTGTCGTCCAGACCCTGGTAGCAAAAGAAAAAGCACTGAGACCTGTGGACCAGAATACTCAATCCAAAAATAGAGCTGCTTTGGTGATGGATCTTATAGACCTAACTCCTCGTCAGAAGGAACGAGCAGCTTCTCCTCATGAGGCCATAGCACAGGCTGACGAGAAGATGCCAGTGTTGGAGTCGAGTTCATGGTCTGCCAGCAGAGGCCTGGGACCCATGCCACGAGCTGTTGAGAAAACCAGCATGTCGGATTCTCGTCTCCAGCCACCTGGGAAAGCATCAGCCCCTTCAGAGCACTCCTGGCAAGCTGTTAAGTCACTTACCCAGGCCAGACTGCTTTCTCAGCCTCCTGCCAAGGCCTTTTTATATGAGCCAGCATCCCAGGCCTCAGGAAGAGTTTCTTCAGGCGCTGAGCAGAGCCTAGGGCCTCCTGTTCAACCTTTGGGCCTCGGGAAGCAGGCGAAGCAGATGGTTGGAGGCCAGCAACTATCTGGACTTGCTGCCAAGAGTGGACAGACCTATAGGTCTCTGGGGAAGACCTCAGCCTCCCTCCCTACTGAAGAGAAGAAGTTGGCAACCACAGAGCAGAGTCCCTGGGTCCTGGGAAAAACCTCACCGGGGGCAGGGCTCTGGCCTATGGTGGCTGGACAGACACTGGCACAGTCTTGTTGGTCCACTGGGAGCACACAGACATTGGCACAGACTTGCTGGTCTCTTGGAAGAGGGCAAGACCCCAAACCAGAGCAAAATACACTTCCAGCTCTTAACCAGGCTCCTTCCAGTTACAAATGTGCAGAGTCAGAACAGAAGTAATACCAGTAAATATCACATGAACAGACATGCTGCCCCCAGGGTACCATTTGGGAAGGGGAAATCTTTTCTTTCTTTTTCCCCCTTAAAAAACAGATCTATCCCATACTTTTCCACTGTTATTCTTTTCCTTATACCCCAACACTCAGAACTCTTAAGATATCAGTCAGTAGGGGGTTGTGTGAACCATGAATGAAAAGTGGGCCCCAGGCAAGGAGAGAAAAAGATTTCGGTCTCTTTTTTCCCCAACTTTTTTACACATGGTCAATGTGAAATAAAAGTCCACTCTGGAGTCTAGCATGGAATTCAGTTCCACTGGTCAGATTGGAAGGTAATAGGGGATCTCAAAACAGTTTCCCCACCTCAACAAACCCCTGTTGCAGACACTTGTGGAACCCTTGGAGGTTACTGATCTTATTCAAATTAGTGGTTATTTGCTGAGCATTCATGTATTCTAGGCCAGGTGCCAGTCACTAATGAGAGATACAGGGATAAATAAGGCTTAATTTCTATGAGTCTAACATGCCCGCCTGGGTTCCGAGGCTGTTTTTAAGAACCTTTGACAGGAAATAATAGGAAGTTCTGAGGGCCCTGGGGCTCCAGACTCATTTTGAAATGTCCTTTGTGGCACGAGAAGTGGCTGTGTTAAGTAAATGTCTCCTGGTTGGGGTGTCCATGGGTGCATGTGTATGCATGCACACTCATACAGAGACATGTTCTCTGTAGACAGAAGGGTGCTGCATCAAAGCCAAATGGGGCTGCTGGCTGGGCTAGCCACTGCTGGTTCTGTCTAAGGTATAAAGAGTCTGAAGATTTGTCCTTGGAGAAACAGGCGGTTAGCAGGAGCTGGGCTCTATGAGAATATAGTTTTCCAGCAGTGGAAGAAGGCAATTGGCAAGCTTATCTTTCTTTTCTACCAATTTCCCTCCTTTTACACAATCCTACCCTATCCCTATACCCCCAAACACTCAGGTGCTTTCAGATTTCAGTGTCTCGGGCAGTGGACATAGGGAATCTGGCAAGCTCCAAGTTCAACACACCAGCTTCAGGAAGAGTATCAGATCCTGATGGGGAATTACTTGCCCCATGATTTTTTGTTCTTCTGAGTGGAGGATGTCCTCCTCTTTACCTCCCTTAGAATTTTGCTGTGCTCTCTACTAAGAACACCTGCCTACTGACTTAGCTTAAAGGCAAGCCAGAACCCATCCTCTAAGGGCAAGACGTAGTGTTTAGAACAATGTCCAGGCTAAGAGGTGACTCCTCGTAACTGCTGATTATCTGTTACTGCTGCCCTGAGCTGGGGCCCAAGGGCTGGGAAATCTGTTGGTGCTACCCTGCCCTACCATTCACCCAGCTCACTGACTGCCAACAGGAAGTGCTGTTTGGCTAGTTTCCTCCTACTCACCCACCCATCCTTTGTCCTTAGACCAACATTTACCTCTCTGCTTTGCCAACTTAGCCAGCAGCTTTAGCCAACAGGCCATCCCTTGGCCCAAAGGTCTCCTGGCCAGTCTGTCTCAATTATGGCTTTTATACCCTCAATAGGATTCTGTATTTGGTCCTGACTTCCTATCCCAAGTTCCTATTGAGGTTACTCCCATCACCTTCCAAGGAGGGAACAACAGTTGTTATAGAAGCATTTGCGCTTTATATAAAGATTAAAAATAGAAACTGCTTTTATTTCCCAAAGTCTGTCTCTGAAGTTGAGACGCATGAACTCAGGCAGAGGGACGAGGCTGGGCAGGGTTGTCCCAAGTTTAGGGGCCTCTCCCTGCATTTCACCGAGACCTCGGAATCTCCTCTGTGAATTCCACCTGCCTAGTTCTCCCCTTTCATCCTCTCTTCCCACATCATCAAAGAGGAAAAGCTCTTTGTTCAAAAGGAAGAGAAAACGTAAAGCATCTTATTTTCTTTTAAAATAATTTTAAACCATGAAAAAGATATTTTTAAATTCACTCAGAACATTAAAGTTCATTATATTAAGTATTTATCATGTGTGAGAATAATAAGTATATAACTGCAGCTAGTAAGTCCCTTTCCCTAATCTCTTAGGTTGTATGAGTAGGGTTTGCTTGGTGCCAGTCCTGTGCCCTTTCTCCTGTCATCTGTAGTTGTGATCAGAAAAATATTTCTGCACTGCACTGTCAGAATCTCCTTTCACTATGTTGTGTGTTAAATTACCGTAGCTCTTTGTTTTCATGAAATAAACTGTGAATTTTTTTAGGGGGGTCTGTGCAGGCTATGTAAAAATTTTAAGTGGAGAAGTTTGATCCTTAAGTAGCTTCTCTGAAGTAGGCTTTGGTAGGTAATTGACTTGACAGTGGTCTAGGTATGTCTCACAGGACAAGACAGGGTGAGGGAAAGGGGGCCACAGTTGGTTGCTTTTGTGGTTTCATTTTGGTTCTCTTTTCATTCTCCACCATTCACTGGAGGCTTCATTCTATACCTGCCTAGAAAAGTAGCTTCTGAGCCGTATTTGGTTTGAGGGAGCAGTTTTTTCATCTGGATGAACAGGGAAGTTTCTTCTGTTCAGGGCCATTGCATGGAAACTAGCAATGTGAGTTATTAGGCCCACTGATGTGAGCATCTGGTACTAGATTATTATAATCGTAAAAGTAATCACTATCCGATGAGAAGCAGAGTCAGAACTGTTGGGAAATGAGACTCTTGTATGAAAGTAGGGAAGGCGTGATCTTGCCAGCCCTGTGAGACTTCTCTTGAAGCTTGTAATGAGACCTTTTTTCCAAAGTGGTGTGAATTGCATTTAAAAGGAAATCTTTAGATACTTCTAATCATTGTGTAGGATATTTGTTTATTTGGGTAAGTGCTTGGAAATTGAGATCTCAAGCGTCTGCCTCTGAGCCAGCTCACCAGGAAGCCTTTCCAGGGGCAAGCAAAAGGTTGAAATGCTTGTGGGTGGTGCGGCGCCTTTAGCTCAAGCAGCTAAGGTGCCAGCCATGTACACTAGAGCTGGCGGGTTCGAATCCAGCCCTGGCCCACCAAACAACAATGATAATTGCAACAAAAAATAGCCGGGCGTTGTGGCAGGCGCCTGTAGTCCCAGCTACTTGGGAGGCTGAGGCAAGAGAATCACTTTAGCCTGAGAGTTTGAGGTTGCTGTGAGCTGTGACATCACAGCACTTTATCCAGGGCAACAGCTTGAGGCTCTTGTCTCAAAGAAAAAAAAGAAATGCTTGTGGGTAGGTATAAAACCAATGCCCTTCCTAACCCTATTAAGTCAGGAGAAAAGATATGGTAACTGTTGAAATTTTATTTAGGGCCCCATTTGCTTCTCCTGCTGGAACCGACCCAGTCTAATACAAAAACAACTGTCATTGCTACAAGAGCGTCCATGTTTTTAAGTGTCTGCCATCCCCTAAAGTTACTAAGTTTGAGATGATTTAAATCACTGTGTTCATCTTTTTCTGAATTAAATCCACATCTTTAGCATCAGTAAAAATAATTATTTTATTCTTCACATCCTTCACCAATACTGTGGTTCCTAGGATCCTTCATCCAGCTCAGCATCATCTATTCACTGGAGCTGGACTCCCAAGTTATAGTTCCGATGTTATCTCCAGAGAATAGAATGGCAGGAAAGAAGTATGGTCCTGGCAGCTTCACCCATAAAGAGGAATCAAGAGAGCACGAAACCTAGATGGGTTTTCCCCTTAGCTCCAATAAGGCAGGTTTCTCTTAAGGCTTTTTAAAATTATTATTAAATATTTTATCCTGTTGGGGTTTGTCAGCCAGGTGGTCAGAGGGGCCCAAGTATCCTAATCTCTCTGAGATAATGGCAGGAAAGGAGCTACTTCAAGCTCCTTTCCTTACTGAGTCACACTTGAGCTTTTCCATGTGTTAGACATTCCAGATCATTTAGAGCTAGGTAGCTGCTGCATGAGACTTTGATTGCCTGTGTCCAGTTAGCTCTCAGCTGAGCTTCCTAGGGCCAGTGCAGCAGGGCCAGAGGTTGCTGTAGTGTAAATTGAAATAAAAATAGATCATTGTTCTGTACACAAAAAAATGTAATGATGGTGCTAATTTCATGGTATAAATAAAGCACTGCCAAGGGTTGAGGGACTGGCGACTTAAGAAACTCGAGTTTCTGTTAGGGAGGAAGAGATTTTACATAGAAAGGTTTCTTTGAGACTGTTGGGAAGAAGGCAGAACCTCAGTGAAACTTTCACCCAGCCCTGTGTAATGGGTGAAGGTGTAGCCCAGTGCAATGGTGGGAGAAATCTATCTTGGTGAAGGTGGCCATTAAGTTTCTCTGGGTTGGGGTCACCTTATCCAAAGCCTCCATCCACACTGCCTGGAACAGATTGATAGAGAGCTCTGGGCGTTGGGTCTCCCGCAGTTCCCTTCTGCCCCTCTCTACCTCTTCCATTCTCATGGAAGCACCTCTTGCTTATGAAGATTAAGGGTAATATTTTCTAAGTAAGTGGAAAGAATTTATTTTAATTAGAAATCTACATCCTCAGAAGTGTTTCTTGTATAAGCAAAAACAGCACATGTCCCTTCTCTAGAGCTGCTTTCCTATAACTTTCAAAACATCAGGCTATTGGGAGGCTTCAGGTCTAAGGCCCTGGAAGGTAAGGAAAGCTTGGTGGACAAGAAATAGAAACAGAAATGAATGGTTCTGGTGCTTTAGACTTCCAGAGGCAGGGCAGGGCAGGCCATCTCCAGGTCTGAGGTGGGCGCTGCCTGTGTGTGCATGTAGGTGAGAATGTGTAGATGGGTGAGTGCAACACACAGGAGCTCATGGAAGTGCAGCTTCCTAGGTCTTGGCAAAGAAACAAGCTGATGATAGAGATTTATCTTTATATTTTTAAGAAAGGACTGTGGTGGGGGTGGCCAGCCAAGGTCTATCATTAGTTTTTTTGCCCCTGCCCCCAAAGATTGTCAGCTGTAAGTGAAACTCCTAGTGAAAATAAGGGGAACCCTATGCTAGGAGTCCCCATAAACATGTACTGTAATTCTTTGTATATAGAAAATACTGTAAAGTAAAGTTTAACTTTACTCATATGGCCCTTGCCCTGTGTTTTATTTTATTGTCCATGGGAAGATGTAGCATAATGGAGGGAGGACTGGTTTGGGGTGAGAGCAGAAGTCAGCCCAGAAATAGTTTGGCCGGGGTGGGGAGCGGGGGTGTCATGATGGAGCTAAGTCCTTCCTCTAAGCACTCTTTATAGAAGTAGTGTGGGTTTCCTGCCAGCAACTACTGGTTGCCTAAGTCTTTCTCTTGTGTTGAGAGTGGCTGGCATCTCCCTCCATAGGACACCTCCTTCACCCATGAAGGGAAGGGTATTTTGAAGTATTGGTTTTTAAAAGGAAGTGTATCCAAAGCACTTTTTATATCTGTGCATGTAAAGTCTGACCCAATTGGCTAAGGTTTAAATTCTTCAGAGGCAGGTATTGGGGGTTATGCAAGAGGGTTCTGCCCAAGTAAGACTACAAGCAAGAAAGCAGAGGCAAATAAATACATTCCCTTTTGGCTGAAGGGGATGTGCTGACCCTGTTTACAATAACACCTGATCCTTTAGAAAAGTTTGAACCTTCAAGGCCTAACACTTTGGGGAAACCTTGGGAGTTTGCCTCCCCTTCTGACTTAGTCCTGAACTTCGTGCCCTTTCAGGAAAAAGCCCTCGGGAAGAATGGGAAAACCCATTTAGTACTAGAGTTAAGATCTTTACAATCCTTGGGCTATGTAGTAGCTCATTTTACAGATGAGAAGCTCAAGCCCCTTTTCCAAATTAATAGCTGAATTTGACCTAAATTTGGATCCGTAAGACCTTTCTGTCCTGCAGAACTATTAAACCACATTGTAGGATGTCACTAGGAAGCTCAGGACCTGAATCACAGGGCTGACTCATAGATCTAAACGTGACAGATGCAATAGAGCCAACCAGATCAACCTGTCTTGAGGTAGGAGTGTTTGACCCTTTTATCTCCAGACACAACTTGAGTGCTATTCTTGGCACCCAAAAGGAATTATGAGCTTTGAGCTGCCCATCCATAGCCTCTTACCTTGTTTCTCTAATGTCTCAGCTATAGTCCTGGGCCAAAGTTTTAGTTTCCAAAGGAAAATTTAGTTTCCAAAGGAAAATAAGAGATCAGGGAGTCTTAATACAAGAAGGCCAGCCAAGTGGCTCCAGAAAAAACTAGGTGTATTAACACCTAATCACACAGCAGGGAAAGGGGCTGAATGTAATTCACAGTGTATTGATTTTATTTACAGATCAGAAGCCACTTAAAGAATCTGCAGACAAAAGTGCTTTCCAGGGCAGAAGCCTGGGGTCCAAATCAGCCCTTATCCCTCCTCATACCCACAGTTAGCCCAATGCTGCCTCTGTTCCATGGGCCAGCACAGGCAGGTACCACCTCTGCTGCCATGGGGACCTGGGGTAGCTCAGACATTTGACCACCCAAGCCCAGATGAGCTGAGTCCAGAAACTCTGGGGAATTCCTTTAAATCTCCCAGGCCAGGTGAGTGGTGATTCAGTGATGACAACAGCTGTAGAAGTAGGGGTTTGCCTTCTGGCCCAAATCAACGCCCTTGTCCTCTGTCAAAGAGAGAAGTGGCAGCTTGGCACCATTCTGTTAGGAGGTTCAGGTAACTGGTAAAGAGGGCCAGGTGGTATAGGCCTACGGGAAGTCTGTAAAGGCTAGGGAAGCACACACCTGTCATCACCTGGAAAGCAGCCACACTGACGTAATCCTCTGCCACTTTCTGGAAGAGTTCATCTAGCAGAAAAAATGATCAGTGAGGGCCCAATGCCAGTAGCCCTGGGATCTCCCAGTGACCCAGCAGTCTAGGCTCTATTCTGCTTGTTCTGGTATTCCTGCTGTGAGGCCCAAGATAGCACTCACCCACACTCTGGCCAGTCTTGCTGGATGTTTCAAAGAGCTGAGCTTTGATATCTGTAAAGAGAATGACCAAAAGCCTCAGGTAAACAAATACAAAGGGGAAGGCTAGCAGTTTAGGGAGTCTCCTCGACCCCACAGTTCAAGGAGACCAGAAAACTCTTCTAGGGCATAATGCCATGATAACTGAGGTTTCCTGTAACCCACGCAGGCAGCCACCCTTCCCTACCCCCCAACGGGCTAAAAAAATAGCTACTGTCTGCATAGTCTTGAACATCATGGAAGTCCACTCGCCGCCGCCGCCGATCCTCCTCCAGCAGGTCACTCTTGGTGCCACATAAGTAGATTTGACAGCTCTGGGACAGAAGACAAGGCCAGGGTCACCACTGACAAAGCCTGAGCCCCTGGTCTTCTGGTGAGTTCTGGCCACCTACCTCCTCTAGGTTTTGCAGTTCCTTCACCCAGAACTTTGCTCGCTCAAAACTGCTGCTGTCTGTGAGGTCTTAGTATGAGGCATGCAGGAGACACAAACAAGGGTCAGGACTGTTCTCTGAAGCCAACCTGCCACCCAACCCTTCTTACTTGAGGAAAAGCCCAGAACCTCCCTTACCATAGCACACGATGGCAGCCTTAGCACCCCGATAGTATATTCTGCTCATGGCCTCGTAGCGCTCAGAGCCTGCTGTGTCCTAAAGGGCAAGGGGCGGCTCAGTCCTGGCCCTAATCAAACTAAGGCCCAGTCCTCCAAACCCCCATTTTCCTTATGAGGAAACGGGTCTACATAATAGACATGACGTCTCTGAGGCCACAGGTCAAGCAGTAAGTTTCCCCAACAGAAGCCCAAGGGACTTACCCAAATACCCAAAGTCACTGTCCGATCTCCGACAGACATTACCTTGGCCACGAAGGCAGCCCCTATAGTCTGCAAAAAGAGGGAAAGAATCAGGGCCGCGAATGTTAAGTTGGCCCCTTCCCACTCGTGCCTGGCCCCGGCGGGTGCACTCACGTTCTGATAGGGCCCCACCAAAAAGCGGTCGTGCACGTATCGCTCCACTAGGCTTGTCTTGCCCACGTACTCCTTGCCCAGCATCACCACCTTGACGTCCACGCGCTGCCCGCTCATGCTCCCGGGGCCGCCTCACCCACGTCAGGGTCCTGAGCGGGGACGGGAGGCAAACCCAGATCTCCGCTCGGTCCTGGCAGCGCCCAAGCCTTAGACCCTGACCGCAAGCGTGTCGGGCTCGAAGTAGAGTAGTGGCCTCGTACTCTGGCAGCAAACGTTATGCCCCGGTCTTTTGCCCCAGGCACCGATTATCGTTAGATGTCCCCCAAGACCTAAGGCGGCCTGGAGCGTGCAGGACGGCGTCCTTAAGAGCGCTGCACGCCGCCGTGCAGCTCTCCGCTCCGTCACTCGCTCGCCCTTCTGCTCACTCGCTTGTCTGCCAGGCTTGGGCTCCGCTCCGGCCGAGCTTCCTAACCGAACCCAGACTCCTCTTAGGCGGGGATCAGACCTACCGCGCCGCAACTACCGCGGGAAGGGGCGAGGGGGGGGCGGGACCGTTCGGTCATGTGACTCCAGAGCCGGAAGTGCTGTGGACCGAGCAGCTGCGCCGGAAGTAGCGCGGACTCGGACAACTCATGGCGGCTGGGGCGGCTGAGGCGCGGTCCAGTGGTGGTCACTGAGCTGCTAGCCTGGCAGTGGGCGTGCACCGAACCCGGGCCGGCCACCACGAGCCCCACCCTGGGCTCCGTACCCCTAATGCTGTGCGGGTGCTGAGCCCCCCCGGCCAGGACGATGGTGAAGTATTTCCTGGGCCAGAGCGTGCTCCGGAGTTCGTGGGACCAAGTGTTCGCTGCCTTTTGGCAGCGGTACCCGAATCCTTATAGGTATGTGGTTCTTGGAAGAGCAGCCCCTTCCACACCTCGCTATTTGGAGATCCAAGTGTGGGTGACTCCCGAGTAATGGGGCCAGGTATGACTTGACGTCGAGTTCGTCGTAGGGTATCGCTGGAACCATGGCGGTCTTTAGGGCCCAAAGACCCTAAAGATCCAAGTGTGGGTGACCCCCGAGTAATGGGACCAGGTATGACTTGACGTCGAGTTCGTCGTAGGGTATCGCTGGAACCGTGGCGGTCTTTAGGGCCCAGAGACCTTGACAAGGAAGCAGCAAGGCCAGGCCTGCGAGATCCTGGAAGGAAGCTGGGCCTGGGCAGTGGTTTATTTGAGACCTTAGTGTAAGTTTCATGTTAGTTAGACAGGAAGACGTGGCAGTACAGTTGTTGGAAGGCATCTTGAGGTTGGAAATCCGAGTGCTTGCCTACATTTTCAGTGGCCTTTCTAGTGGTGTAATAAATCATGAGGTCCAGCCCTACTGAAAGGCCCAGGAATCCAGGTCAGCGAGGAGGCGGGAGTTGGAATTTACCCTGGATTAGGTTTGAGGGACTCTTAGTTCAGATCTGAGCTACATATCACTCTGTCTGCAAGACTGCAGGAAGGCATGGCCTGTCTAGGCTGGAAGGGTCCAAACAGGAACCCCAACAGGTAGTCTCTCAAGGGTAGGCTCCTGAGGGTCACCTTCACTCTGACACCTGCAGCAAACATGTCTTGACGGAAGACATAGTACATCGGGAGGTGACCCCTGACCAGAAACTCCTGTCACGGCGACTCCTGACCAAGACCAACAGGATGCCCCGCTGGGCTGAGCGACTGTTTCCTGCCAATGTTGCTCACTCAGTGTACATCCTGGAGGACTCTATTGTGGACCCACAGAATCAGACCATGACCACCTTCACCTGGAACATCAACCACGCCCGGCTGATGGTGAGACAACTCCTCCATTTTGTTCCCTCAGAAGTACACATGCCTAGAGAGCCATGAGGGAGTTTCTGTGGTCTGAGGCAGGTCTGGGCTACTAGGGAGTGATAGCTATAGAGGACAACCTCTGATTATCTTCTTTTCAACTGGTCAGCCTCTCTGGATCTTGTCTTTGACTCATTCATACAGTGGGGAAAGGGTATCTATCTTCAGAGTTGTTGTAAGTACTAAAGACAAAGCACACACATCAGGTGCAGCACACATATAGATTAGATCCACAGGAATACTGTGGGAGGGGGCAGTGGTTTCCAAACAGAAGTCTTAGATGTGCCTCAGGGAGAGAGGTTTGGGGCCCCTTGTCCCACTTTGATTAGAGGAGTTGCACTCTTACTTTGTATTGCCTAATGCATTTTTGCTGGAGATTTTCGGAAAGGGGGTTCTGCACACCTTGATCTCTTGCTTTTAAAAATACTTGAAAACCTGTGGTTTAAAGAACATACTATAGTATCTTCTCACGTGTGAATACCCTGAAATCTTTCAGAGAACTCTTTTTTTTTTCCAGTTTATCTTAACAAAACCTCTCTGTTATTCAGAGAGGGAAGTGGGATTCAGAGAGAGGTGTGTCCTGCAAGGTCAGAGTGAGTGGGTACCCCAGTCTGCCTCAAGCTTTCTAAAGTCATCTCAGATAGTAACCTGATGGTATCACCTCTGTAGCTGGTAAATTACTAAGTGATCCAGCTGTAAGAAGTGCCTGTTATGTCTTTCTCCTGGAAATAGTAGTTCACATTTTCTCATGTGATAATGGAAACTGATGATTATGGAACATTCATTTTTATTTGCACTGTCAGGAAGTTTAATAGCTACAGTAGATGAATGGCAGGCTAAAAACATTGTGCATGTCTAGTTATAAAAGTACAAACAAAACCGTGGGCCAGGACAAGCTGGAATGCTGTCTACTGAGCTTAAGAGACCATGTCAGAAGTGAAGTCTCAGAGAGCAAAATGATGTTTTTTATGGCCTTCCTGCTCTCAATCTGTGAATGCCACTTTGGCCATAGGGAAAGAACAGATTTATGTCGTATTGTTTCCCCTCATGAAGAAATGGGGTCAAATTTATGTGCAAGTAGGAAAAGGGAAGGACTCCACTGTGATTGTTGCTGGCCTGATTCCCTGCACAGGTGGTGGAGGAACGATGTGTTTACTATGTGAACTCTGACAACAGTGGCTGGACTGAAATCCGTCGAGAAGCCTGGGTCTCTTCTAGCTTATTTGGTGTCTCCAGGGCTGTCCAGGTGAGGATTATTGTGGGGGCTCTGGGGCTGGCATGGGGTCAGTCAGTAGCTCAGAATACTTCCCTTTTTTCATCTTTTGCCAGGAATTTGGTCTTGCCCGGTTCAAAAGCAATGTGACCAAGACTATGAAAGGTTTTGAATACATCTTGGCCAAGCTGCAGGGTGAGAGTTTGGATACTGTTTGGGGAGCCTCTTAATGTCATGGGGAAGGGCGATTAGGTGGGTCTTTCAGGAATCATCTAAAGCCAGCCCCCTGCCCTGTGCTACAGGTGAGGCCCCTTCCAAAACACTTGTTGAGACAGCCAAAGAAGCCAAAGAGAAGGCAAAGGAGACAGCACTGGCAGCTACAGAGAAGGCCAAGGACCTAGCCAACAAGGCAGCCACCAAGAAGCAACAGCAGCAGCAACAATTTGTGTAGCCAGCCTACAACCACCACAGCACACCAGATTACTCGGCTCAACTGTCTCTGCCCTCTTCCCATTATATTCTATTATTAAAAATCAACTTCCAGCCCTGTTCTCTATCTGGGCGGTGGGTGTCCAATTTGGCATCTATAGTACACCAGGCATGTTATTCATGTCTTGAGCCAGGCCTGCTATCCCCCTGTTGGGCAGCTGAGGACAGAGATATGGTGACTTACCCCTGGTCACAGACCATATGCAGGTAAAGTGGCAATAAATGCTAGACTGTAAGCTCCATGAGGGCAGGGTTCTTTGTTTTGTTCTCTTATGTGTCCCAAGTACCTGGAACAATATCTAGCACATAATAGGCACTCAATAAATATTTGTTGAATTCAATCAGCCCCAGCTCTGGAGTCAGAAGGTCTTCCGTTTGAATCTAGACTCCACTGTTAACTGGCTTTGGACCTCAGGCAAGTCAACATCACTTAGCCCCGGTTCCACCTTTCGTGTAGACAGCCTCCAAGTGGGGACTGAATGTGTACTGTCTGCCTGGTAGTGGTGTCAGTGGCTGCTGGTCTCATTTCTTCTTTCTCAGTTTGTGGTTGAGAGTTCCCCTATTTTCATCAGGTAAGACCATGGGTGGAGAAGTTATGAAAGAGGCTTTTAATGAAAATACTTAAAGTCTATGTGGGACAAAGGCCAGGGGATCTTGTCCAGGAAAGGACTAGAAGGACCAAGAGATTTCCCAGTCCCTATGGGGGCAGCAGAGCCATGTGCTACAAAAAAAAAAAAAAAAAATTGTCTATAAAGGTAGCTTAGGCTCTAGCTGCTCACGCAGCAGGGCTAGGGGTGGGGGGTAAGAGTCCTACCCTAGTCCCACTGGAGCAACTGCCTGGCAGCAGCACAGTATGAAAGGAGCACCAGTTCCCACACCAAGCGTCCTTTCAGTCCATTTCAACAGGTGACTCTTGAGCAGCCCTTGAGGCCTGGAGAGGAATCTTGCCTGGCAGAATCTGCCCAGTGCCAGCAGAGGGTGGTCAGGGCAGAGGCCCGACCTGGGGTAGCACATCAGAGCCAGGCGCCTGCGCTGTGCGAGTAGCTGTGCTCCTGGCTGGCGCTGAAGCCCTGCAGCAGCTCAGCTTCACCCCCAAACACCAGGCTCTCCACGTCCACCTCCAGTTCCTCTGCACAGGGAGGGTCCAGTCAGAAGACGTGGCCTGCCCAGATGGCCATGCGGCCCCCCAGCCTGAGGTCACTCACCTTGGTCGGAGTCCGAGCGCTCCGAGGAGAGGCCTGAGGAGTCGAGGCTGTCGGTGCGCAGCCGCTCTCGCTCGCCCGCCCCCACTGGCCCTCGGAGCTGCTCCAGCTGCAGCTGCAGGCTCTGCTGCTCGCCACGCAGCTTCTCCTTGAGCTGCTGCGCCCACCGCTCCTGCTCCTGCAGCTTCTGCCGTAAGGAGCAAGGGGCTGGTCAACTTTTGGGGGCTTGGGCCTCAACCTAGCACCACTTGGCACCAGATGGGGTGGGGTGGGGTTGTTGACTAATCTGGGCCTCAGAGGTTGTCCCCACATCCTCCAGGAAGCCAACCCCTCCTGCCCTTAACTCACACATGGCCTGTCAGAGCTCTATCTAGAGCAGGCAGGGGACCTAACAGTGATGTGAAGGAATGGTGTACCCTGGTATTGAGCAGTAGGGACTAGGGGACTGTGACACACCAATGAGTACACACTCTGGCTCAGGCTCCAGTTGCTGCCAAACAGGTCCAGTGCATTAAAAGAAACCTGAAAAGGGCGGCGCCTGTGGTTCAGTGGGTAGGGCGCTGGCCCCATATATTGTGGCAGGTGCCTGTAGTGAGACTGAAGCTAGAGAATCGCCTAAGCCCAGGAGCTGGAGGTTGCTGTGAGCTGTGTGACGCCATGGCACTCTACCGAGGGTGATAAAATGAGACTGTCTCTAGGAAAAAAAAAAAGAGAGAGAAAAACCTGAAAAGTCAGATTTTTTATTTTTATTTTTTAGGTAGAATCTCACTTTGTTGCCCAGGCTAGAGTGCTATGGTGTCCTAGCTCACAGCAACCTCACACTCCAGGGTTCAGGCAGTTCTTCTGCCTCAAACTCCCAAGTAGCTGGGATTACAGGCACCCTCCACAACACCCAGCTAATTTTTCTATTTTTAGTAAAGACGAAGCCTCACTCTTGCATAGTCTGGTCTTGAACTCCTGAGCTCAAGCAATCCACCGACCTCAGCCTTGCAGAGTGCTAGGATTACAGATGTGAGCCACTGCGTCCAGCCATAAGTCAGATTTTTTTTAATGTCAAATATCCTTCTAAGTGTTGCCAACCAACTTAAATGTCTAGAAAACCACAGATCAAACAAAGGCTACCAGTTTTTTATGTTAATCCACATACACACCATCCCACCCCAGCTTTGCTAACCCAAAGCTTCAGGAACTAGAAAGCCAAGGCTCTTCCAGGCAGAGCCCTCAGTGGGGAGATACCTACATTCCATCATTCAACAAGAAGGGGAGAATTGTCCAGGTGCAGTGGTTCACGACTGTAATCCTAGTACTCTGGGAGCCTGAAATGGGTAGATCCCCTGAGCTCAGGGGTTTAAGACCAGCCTGAGCAAGATGGAGACCCCCATCTCTATTAAAAATAGAAAAACTAGCTGGGTGTGGTGACAGGCACCTGTAATCCCAGCTACTTGGGAGGTTGAGGCAAGAGGATTGCTTAAGCACAAGAGTTTGAAGTCACTGTGAGATATGATGCCACAGCACTCTACCCAGGGTGACAGTGAGACTCTTATCTCAAAAAAAAGGGGGAGGAGAATTGGGCTGAGGGGACATGTGGACTGGGCATAGAAGGATGAGTAGGAGCTGCCTAGGCAAAGATGGAGGAGGAAGCAGCAAAGCAGAGGAAGGCTGAGAGGAACAGGGAGAGTTCAGCTACTTCTATGGAGAATAGGGAAAGTAGGGAGAGATGAGAACAAAATAGCAACCTAAAGGCAAGGCCTGGTTGTGAGGGGCCTTGAGTTTCCCAGAAAGCATAAGGAACTAAGAGGCTTTGTCCTATCAGGAGCTGTTAGAGGTTTTTTCTTTTTTGGCCGGGGCTGGGCTTGAACCCACCACCTCTGGCATATGGGGTCAGTGCCCTACTCCTTTGAGCCACAGGTGCCACCCCTGTTAGAGGGTTTTTAGCAGGAGGAGGACTTGGGCATATCTGCATACTACAAAGATCATTCTGACCCGGTGCCAATAGCACAGTGGTTACAGTGCCAGCCACATACACTGAGGCTGGAGGGGTCAAACCTGGCCCAGGTCAGCTGAAAAACAATGACAACTACAACAAAAAATAGCCAGGCACTGTGGTGGGCACCTGTAGTCCCAGCTACTTAGGAGGCTGAGGCAAGATAATCACTTAAGCCCAAGAGTTTGACGTTGCTGTGAGGTGTGACACCTCAACACTCTACCAAGGGCAACATAGTGAGACTATCTCCAAAAAAAAAAAAAAAAAAAAACAGAAGATCATTCTAGGGCAGTGATTCTCAATCTTCCTAATGCCTTGATGTTACAAAGGGGTCACGGCCCACAAGTTGAGAACTGCTGTTCTAGGGCAAACTAGAAGATAGCCTAGTGGAGGCAAAACCAGAAGCAAGGAGGCTGGTGGACATTAGTCTAGAACAGGGGTAGTGGAATTTCAAGAATGGAAACCCTGGTCCTGCCCCCAGGCCACCCAGCTCATGAAGGGCACCAGCATCCACCCAAGAACCTGGCCAGGCAAACTGCACATGAGAAACTCGGGTTCATAACCTGCCCAGAGTGTTATTCACAGTGAAGGTATGAACAGGCACCTAAAGGACTGTGACTTATTTGCTATCGGTCTGTGTCTCTGCCACAGACTCCAGAATAGGGCCCACAGAACAGGTACTCAGTAAATATTTGGAGGCAATAATGCATGTGGAGGGCCCTGGGCTTGGGTCTTGAATCTGTTTCCCATTAGCTGTGTGACCTGCCCCTTAGCCCAGCTCAGCTTTCCTCTGTCAAAAGGGCCAGGGCAGGAAAAGTTCTGGCATATCCAAGGGTGTTTCGGACATGGCAAGCGGGCCTGGGCCTTTGAGTCCGCATACCCACTTCTGTCCCACAGGAAGCAAGGAGCTCAGCCCAGGCAGCAGCAAGGGCCCTGGGAACCAATGACTGGAGGCTTCTCAGTCCTTTCCCTTCCTGGTCTTTGACACTCCCAAGGTGGCATCAGGACAGACTCCCCTGCACAGGAGGCCTTGAAGAGCAAGGACTAGCCCTCCTTCACATAAAGCCTATCACAGCCATCCCCTCTCCCCCAAACAAAGGAGGAAACAGAAGTTCAGACAGACCGAGTGACTTAACAAAGGTCTTATAGCTGAGATCTAAGTAATAATGGGTGTAATAATATTATACCCATTATTACATTAATAAGTTGAACTCATTTAAGCCTCAGAATGACCCGCTGAGTTATTGTCTGTTTTTCTTCCATTTAATAGATTTGGGAACTAAAAGCACAGAAAATGGTACCAAGTCACACAGTTAGATTATGATCCCAGGTCTTTTTCTCCAGTTCCACCCAGCCCCTCCATATTACACTTCTCCACAAATCCTGGCAAGCTGGCCCACGTGGCTCCATACCTGGATGTGCATCCGGGCACGGCGCAGCAGACTCAGTGTGGTATATCGGGCACAGTCAGTCCCCAGGGGCATCTGCTGCTTCAGCCGCTCCAGGCATCGTTTCAGCTGGGCCCTCCTGCAGGGGAAGGGGTATGGAGGGCAGTGCTACCCCCACCTTGCTGGTCTGAGGGATGTTAGGGGAGGGAAGGCCAGAGGGAGGTGGTCCATGGGGTCTGATACTGTCAGGACAGGGCTGGGACTCACCTGCGCTTCTCCAGCTCATTGTGCACAGACCTGCCAATGCCAGAAAGGGAGCGTGAGGGGTGGCCAGCTGCAGCCCCCTAATCCCAGGGCTCTCAGTGGCTCAGGATCCACAACAGTTGTCTACCCCACAAAATTCCACTGTGGGGACCTCATATTAGCATCACCCCTAGGCAGGGATGGGAGGAGTCAGAGATACATGCTTAGCCAAATGCTAAGAAAGGCCCACCTAAGTGGCTTTGAAGGTCCAAACAAAGCCCCCTGCCAGATAGTCAGGAAGAGCTTTGTGGATAGAGGTGACAGCTCAGAGCAGAAACAGAAGTTTCCCAGAACAGGTGGTGAAGGTAGAGGGGATAGGGTATGCAGCAGAGTGGGAGGGCTGTGGGTGGGTGAGAAGTCTGCTATGTGGAGAATGGGAGGGAGAGCAGGACTCAGAACTGTCTTGCTCACATCGGAGATGCTCAAGAGTCCTTGAGTGAGGCTCGGCACCTGTAGCACAGTGGTTACGGTGCCAGCCACATACACTGAGGCTGGTGGGTTTGAACCCACCCCAGGCCAGCTAAACAATGATGACTGCAACAACAACAAAAATATTGGGCATTGTGGCGGGCGCCTGTAGTCCCAGCTACTTGGAAGGCTGAGGCAAGAGAATCGCTTAAGCCCAAGAGTTTGAGGTTGCTGTGCGCTATGACGTCACAGCACTCTACTGAGGAGGACATAATGAGACTCTGTCTCAAAAAAAAAAAAATCCTCCTTGAGTGAACAGCAAGGTGTGTGTTTGGGGAATGCAGAGATGGCAGGAGGGCTTTGAATGTCTGGTACCTAGCCCCAAAGGTGCAAGCAACAGGGAGGTAATGGGCAGAGTAAGGGCCCAATGAGGACAGAGTCCATTCCCTCCAGTACCCGCAGCCCTGGCCTTCCTCACCGCCCACTGTCCAGCGCATCAGGAGTTTGAGGGGGTCGCTTCTTCCTCCTGTGGATAGGACCCGGACTGCGGTGTGGGCACAAGGACGCATAGCCGTGCTCAGCCTCTGCCAGAGAGAGCCCCTGCCGGTGTCAGAGGAGAGCTGGACCCAATCCCAGCAGAAGCATCAAGGAAAGGTTTTTGGCGTCAGGAACATTTCCCCAATCCCTCCCAGCCCGACTGCCCACGGACTCCTCTCAAGTTGAGGGCAGGGCGCCCCAGGGCTATTGCCCTAGGGCCATGCATCCTTCAAATTGGGAGCCAAGTCCAGTCCAGGCGCGTGTCACCGGAATCTAGCCAAGGGTTTTCTTTCTCACCTCTCTCACGGCGCTCCAGGAACTCTGCCGCCTGCAACAGAACCTGGATGTTACTGGCCACGGGTTCCATGTCGGCGACAGCTGGCGGGAGGCTGATCTGGGAAGCCCGCTGGAGCAGTGGCTGCACCACTTTTGTTACAATGTAACTGACACGGTGCAACAAACACAGGGGCCGGGCCCCGCCCCCAGACGCCCCGCCCGCGGCAGCGCCCAGCTCTTGGCCCCACCCCTCTGGAATGCGCCGGTGAACCACAGTCCTCCCTCCGCGAGCCCTCCACACCCGCGAGTGGCCTCGAATTCTCCTAGACAGGTACAGGAGCCCGCTCCAGGCCCAGTCGTAGGGCGACCCCCCGGGCTTGAGGGGTGCTGCGTCTTGCCCGCTTCGCCCCACCACCCCACGCCGGTTCCTTGGCGTCCTCGGGCCTCCGTTTCTAGCCCGGTGCTGGTGGCAAGAGCCCAGCACACAAGAGTGGCGCTTTGGCAGCCAGGTGGTCCCTGAGAGGCCCCAGCCTCAGACGCTGCACGTGGGCGCCACGGGGCGTGGCTAGCCGGGCGCCGCTTGTTCATTTGCCTGGACTCCCTGTCGTCATCGTCAGGGAGAGGCCAGGGAGACCCTGAGGCACCATTGGCCCGCATGGAGCCCCGCCCTCTCCCGCCGCTAGTCCACACGGTCGGGCGGGAAAAGGAGCAGGTTTCAAATTTGAAAACCTGAACGATGGGGGCGGGGTTGAACCAGGAACAGGGCCGCAGTGCGCAGGCGCAGGCGGAGGGTCGGCGGCCTCTGCTCCCGCTCTTGCTACTCTCTCCCTACCCAGGCCTGCCATTTGAGCCCCGAAGGTTTCCCGCTGGGCCTTAGCATCCTATTGTGTGGATTGGGAGCAGTCTCCTGGCTCCCTCTCATCTGCAAGGAAGCTATTGTTGCTTTGAAAACGTCAGTAGGGTACCAGCTTCCAAGCCAGGATATCCGCTGGAAGCAGGCGAACTGGCTTTTTAGTAGGCTCTGGAGTCAACGGAGTAGACTGGTGAAGTTTCAAGAATGGAAACCCTGGTCCTGCCCCCAGGCCACCCAGCTCACGAAGGGCACCAGCATCCACCCAAGAACCTGGCCAGGCAAACTCCACATGAGAAACTGGGAGTAGAGACTCTCTTGACTCTGGAGCCTACTAAATTGATGTCTCAACTGTATATTACTCTGGAACTGGGGAGCCCTGCAACAGCGTTGTTGGAGGAGCAGAGTCAATGAGTATGTAGTGCCCAGCAGGAAAGAGCTGCCCATCTCTAAGGCAGGTGTAGCCAAAGGCAGGCTTTTGCTTCCCAGACAAGCCCCTGGTGTTTTTTATTCAGAGTCCAGGAACCTTCTTTTAAAAAAATTTTTTTTTATTTATTTTCTTTTGAGACAAGAGTTTCACTTTGTCACCCTCAGTAGAGTGCCGTGGCATCACAGCTCACATCAACCTCAAACTCTTGGACTTAAGCGATCCTCTTGCCTCAGCCTCCCAAATAGCTACAGGCGCTCACCACCCAGCTCAGGCTGGTCTCGAACTTGTGAGCTCAGGCAGTCCACCCACCTCAGCCTTCCCAGAGTGCTAAGATTACAGGGTGAGCCACGGCGCCCGGCCCTTTACAAAAAAAATTTTTTGAGACAGTGTCTCACTCTGTCGCCCTGGGGAGAGTGCCATGGCATCATCATAGCTCACAGCACTTGCAGAGTAGCTGGGTATACAGGCACCCGCCATGGTGACTGCCTAATTTTCTTTTTTCTTTCTCTTTTTTTCTTTTTCTTTTTTTTTTTTTTTTGAGGCAGAATATCACTTCGTCACTCTTGGTAGAGTGCCATGGTGTCACAGCTCATAGCAACCTCAAATTCCTGGGCTTAAGCGATTCTCTTGCCTCAGTGTCCTAAGTAGGTAGAACTACAGGCACAAGCCAAAACGCCCAGCTATTTTTAGAGACAAGGCCTCACACTGGCTCAGGCTGGTCTGGAACCTGTGAGCTTAGGCAATCCACCCACATCAGCCTCCCAAGTGCTGGGATTACAGGCGTGAGCCACCATGCCCAGCCCAGTTTTTCTATTTTTTTTTTTTTCTTAAAACAGAGCCTCACTTTCTCACCCTCAGTAGAGTGCTGTAGCATCACAGCTCACAGCAACCTCCAGCTCTTGGGCTTAGGCGATTCTCTTGCCTCAGCCTCCAGAGTAGCTGGGACTACAGGCACCCACCATAACGCATGGCTATTTTTTGTTGCAGTTTGGCAGGAGCAGGTTCAAACCCACCACCCTTGGTATATGGGGCTGGCACCCTACTCACTGACCACAGGCACTGCCCTAGTTTTTCTTTTTCTTTTTTGGCAGTTTTGTCTGGGGCCGGGCTTGAACCTACCACCCCCAGTATATGGGGCCAGCGCCATACTCCTTGAGCCACAAGTGCTACCCCCCAGTTGGTTGTTTTGTTTTTTGAGACAGAGCCTCAAGCTGTTGCCCTGGATAGAGTGCTATGGCATCACAGCTCACAGCAACCTCCAACTCCTGGGCTCAAGCGAGTCTCCTGCCTCTGCCTCCCAAGTAGCTGAGACTACAGGTGCCTGCCACAACACCCAGCTATTTTTTGATTGCAGCCATCATTGTGTTTGGCGGTCCCAGGCTGGATTCGAACCTGCCAGCTCAGGTGTATGTGGCTGGCACCTTAGCCGCTTGAGCCACAGGCGCCAAGCCCCAGTTTTTCTGTTTTTAATAGAGACGGGTTCTTGCTCTTGCTCTTGCTCAGGCTGGTCTCAAACTTCTGACTTCTTTTTTTTTTTTTTAAAAAGAAGAAAATAAATTAATTGAAAATTTTTTTTTTTTTTTTTTGCAGTTTTTGGCCTGGGCCGGGTTTGAACCTGCCACCTCCGGCATATGGGGCTGGCGCCTTACTCCTTTGAGCCACAGCGCCACCCCAAACTCCTGACTTCTGATCTACCCTCCTCAGCCTCCCAGATTGGTAGGATTGCTGGCGTGAGCCGCTGCACCCGCTAGGCTCTTTTTACCCCCATTTAACAAATAAACAAAAACTCTTCTTAGACGTGATGCAGCACCAGCAGGTGTCCCAAGAAGGTTAAAGCAGCTGAAGCAGGGTGGGGCCTTAGTCTGCACCAGTGCCTAGAAAGTAGAGAGGGGAGAGAAGGCAGAAGATAGAATCTTTGCAAAGAGAATCTTGGTAAACAGAGGCTCATGTCCAGTAGATCTCAGTTCCTTGCACAAAACCTTGGAGTTTCTCTAAGAGACATGCCCAGTGGAATCACTGACATGTTCAGGCAAGAACTGCTACGTAGGACAATCCATCTATCTGTTCACCTGTCACTTATAAGACAGCCGACACTGCACTGGAGGCTGCACTGTACAACAATGGACAGAAATAGATATGGTCCCTGCCTTTGCAGAGCTCAGCCTTGAGGGAAAGAGACCAATATAGTAATCACACAAAGAGTTCCAGCTCTGGCAAGGCACAGTGGCTCATGCCTGTAATCCTAGCACTCTGGGAGGATGAGGCATGTGGATCACCTAAACTCAGGAGTTGGAGAATAGCCTGAGCAAAAGTGAGACCCCTACTTAAAATAGAAAATTAGCTGGGTGTTATAGCCAGTGCCTGTAGGCCCAGCTACTCAGGAGGCTGAGGCAAGAGAATTATTGCTTGAGCACCAGAGTTTGAGGTTGCTGTGAATTACAATGCCATGCACTCTATCCAGGGTGACAAAAAAGTTCCAGCTAGAAAAAGACACAATGCTGAGCACACATTCTAAGGAACATATGACCTAATCAGAGGTTTTTCTGGGGAAATGGACAAATAGGTGTTATTTATGTATAAGAGGGACAAGAGAAAATTCTAGGCAAAGGAACAGCATGTGCAAAGGTCCTGAGGCTGAAAAGAATGTGGCAATATGTAGTTTGGGTAACATGGAGAGCAAATAATCTGTTGCAGGCTGACAGCAGAGGGGCTGGCAGGGCTCAGACAGGTTGATGGCTTCCTCAAACCCCCACCTAAAGTCAGTTATGACTGAAGAAAGGAATCATATGGCCTGCGAATGAAATTCCAATTTTATTTTACTAAAGTCATCATCTAGCTCGGCACTTGTAGCTTAGCGGCTAGGGTGCCAGCTATGTACACTGGAGCTGGTGGGTTCGAATCCAGCCTGGGCCTGCCAAACAGCAATGACAACTACAACCAAAAAATAGCCTGGCATTGTGGTGGGCGCCTGTAGTCTCAGCTACTTGGAGGCTGAGGCAAGAGAGTCGCTTAAGCCCAAGAGTTTGAGGTTGCTGTGGTGTCACAGCACTCTACCCAGGGTAATGGCTTGAGACTCTGTCTCAAAATAAATAAAGTGAGCACCCACACAATGTAGGCATGCATCTTCTAGTCAGACCTAGGTAGCCTGGCATTCAAGTCTGTGTAGGATAGGGGCAGGAACTCTGAAGGAAGGGAGTTCCCGGTAGGGAGAGTGAGCCAGGCATACTTGAACTAACTTTTTTTTTTTTTTTTTTGCAGTTTTTGGCCAGGGCCAGGTTTGAACCCGCCACCTCTGGTATATGGGGCCGGCGCTCTACTCCTTTGAGCCACAGGTGCCACCATACTTGAGGTGGTTGTGGAAGTGAGGCAGGGTCTGCATAGGGGCTGAGGTACCCTCTTCAAGGAATTTGGACCTCATCTTAGGTGCCATGTAAGGGATTCAAGCTAGGAAACAGCAAGCAGGCTTGTGTCACCCTGGCCCTAGGCCTTCCATGAATATGGATCAGGGCCGCGGGCCAGGGGGCAATTCCTCCTGAGCAGCAGGGCAGTTGGGAGGAGGCTAGGATTTGGGCTTGGACAAGCAGTGGTCCTGCCCCAAGCCCTTAGATGCCCCTCTAAGAGAAAATGCAAGTGTTAGTGCCCTCTGAACCCAGGACTGGAAAAGGAGCACTCAGTAGTGATCAGCCTTAGAACCTCTGTCCTAGACCTCCCGGGGTCCTGCATTACCTCTGGGGGCTCCATAGTGCAACCCTGTGACCTCCCAGCCCTTGAGCCTTGCCTATCCAAGTCATTGTGGCTGCACTTCAGTGCA